GAGCTAAAGGAAGAACTATCATTTGATCCAGGAATCCCATTACTGGGCATCTACCCAAAGGAAAAAAAGATATTCTATAAAAAAGACATCTGCACTAGAATGTTTATAGCAGCACAATTCACAATTGCAAAGATGTGGAAACAACCCCAGTGCCCATCAATACATGAGTGGATTAATAAAATGTGGTATATGTATACCATGGAGTTCTACTCAGCCACAAAAACAATGGTGATCTACCACCTCTTGTATTATCCTGGATAGAGCTGAAGCCATTCTACTAAGTGAATTATCCCAAGAATGGAAAAACAAGCACCACATGTACTCACCATCAAATTTAATTGATCAACACTTAAGTACACATATAATAATAATATTCATCAGATGTCTGGTAGATGGGAGAGTGGAAGAGAGGATGGGTACATACCACACCTAATGGGTGTGGTGTGCACCACCTGGGGGATGGACTCGCTTGAAGCTCTGACTCAGGTGGGGCAAAGGCAATATTTGTAACCTAAACATTTGTACCCTGTAATGTGCTGAAATAAAACAAACAAACAAACAAACAAGCCTTTCCTTATCTTATTACTTGAAATAACTCAAAAGAAACTCCTCTTCCAATGTTAAACAAAAATGATACTCCATTACCCCATTGCCCATTTGAAGGTACTATAATTTGTGAAAATGATGATGTCATTGTTTTATCTCAGTCTCACATTCTGTTTCAGTTTTTGAAATGACAACTCTAATCTTGGCCTATGTCACTTTTCAAGTGACAAGAATATAAATATTCCAGTAGTCATCATCAAATTTGCAAATTAGGTTTTGCTGCTCTAAATGTTTCTCCTGAATCACAACCCATTCTATTTGTACTATATGATATGATAAATTTTTGCTTTTCTAATAAAGTATATTTGTCTTGGGGAAAAAAAAGAAATGAACAGACAATCCAAAATTACTTAGACTGGCAAAAAGTCATATATTTGAAATTAGGTCTGAGCTGGAAAATTGAATGGACATATACTTTTCTGTAGACTTATGACATTTATGAGACAATGCCCTGGAGCCAGGTTGTACTTTTGGAAATTACAGAAAGGAGCTCTCAGTAGATGACATTTTAAAGTCACTGTTTGAGGCTAAGAAATATCCAATTGAAATATGAAAAAAAAATGCAAAAGAATACCCACCCCTTTGGCTACATGCCCCCCAAAACACTTTCTTGCCTTTCAACCACTTATTGCTACAAATCTACATTCTCCTACCTAACCAAAATCAAGATGCCCTTAAGGTCATAAATGACTGATACCCATCTAAAGGATCAACTGAACCTGTGGACCTCCATGTTGCAACAAAACATTCAAATGCTTCCCAACAAAAAGCAAACATAACAGAGTCATTAAAAGGTTACTTAATTTTTAATTAACAAATAGTTTTCATTTTTTGAAATTATTAAGTGCATAGTAGATTTTGTTATAAAATTATGTATATCTAATTGAAGTTTCTAATTAAGTATATCTAATTAAAGTTTCTTGAATGCAGCCTTATTTAATTATAGCTAAATTAATGCAGCCTTCCAACATGAAATGGTTCCCCATCCCTGCACTATGGATTTTCCATCTCAGTGTATCATATATATGAGTATCATTTGTCATGTTTGGCTCCTTAACTTACTATGAACTTTGAACACACTCACTGTCAGTAAGTTTTATTTTATAAAATTATATTTGATGGCTGCTTTTTATTCAACTTATATCTCTACCATATTTATTCTATTGTATATCTGTACCACATTTAAACTTATATTTTTGGAGAGTATTTAATTCAGTTCATTATTTTGCTACTATCAATAGCACTGTAATAAATATCATTATAGCTCTACCTTTGACAATGTCACTTTTCTTTCTTAAATATACACACCTAGAAATTGAATAATTTGGTACAAGGTCACATAGAATTATTTGATATATATTATTTATTACATATGATCAAACTATATTACAAAAATTAATATAGGTATTTCCATATAATTCTTATTTACCTCATATTCAAGATTTATTATAATATTTATTATTTCATAGGTAAATATGCATATAACTGTTGTTTTAATTTTTATTTCTAACAGAGATAAGTTCTAATTTATATATAATATACATGTGTGTACTAATGAATATTGTTTCAGCATGAGAAAGGTGTCACTTTTCATAAGATTTACTTCGAATTTCTTAATCACAATTTTAATTTTGAATCTTTAATATTTGTTGATTCTATGTTTCTTCAGCATAATTTTGTCAGTGTTTTCTCTCTGGATTGACTGGAATCTGTTTTTCTAAATTCTATGATACATGTAGGGAGAATGAGACACCTGGTTTCCTAGCTGATATTCCTTCTGTGCAGAGGACCATCTATTACTCTGATACTCATACTCTTACTCACTCCCCCTAGGATGGTGGGATGACTTCTCTGATTGGTGAGTCTCAAAGCAGAAACTGTTTCCTTCTCTTTTGTCATCATGTTGAGAGTTAGCATACTTTAGAAAGGATATAATATCTGTGATTATCCTTGCCTAAGCCCTCCTACTGCTACTGATAAAGACCCCTACTGATAGGAACCCAGCACTGTCTGTGATTTGGCAGTTTTGCCTAATTAGGCAGTTTTGCCTAATTCCAGAGCTTGGTATTAAGACATTAACTTGCCCCCAAATACACTTTGCCAATAATAAAATATATTTTTGTCTCCACATAACTCATTTATTTTCTCAATTTGTGCAGAATAGGGACTATTTATTTTACTTCCTCAAACAACTTATAGCTGGTGCATGGAACAAGGATTGTAAAGAAGTTAACAGGAAAAGTATATTTAGGTGCAAAAGTACACCTAAAAGTTTTGGGCTTTGATAGGGAGAGGGAATTGTGACCTAAGTGGCATGAAGTGACACATTTTACAATATTGAAATAGTTAATAGTTTGTGCATAACGTTAACTGTAAACATCCCAGCTTCTATAACTTCTATCCAGAAGTTAGAGGTCCTAACTTCTGATAATGTGGAATTTTAATCTCCACAAATGCATATACATCAGGATTGTTCACAGCTGAGTGATTAATTTCAAATGAGTGCATATTCATTCATCCAGAGATCACACTGCTAGTACTAGGCGTTAACAAATATCCACCTTCTAAACTGGAGTTTTCTCCTTTAAAGGGGTAGTATTAATATCCAATAACAATGGGGGAGGGTCTTATAAAAAGAATATCGCATGCCATTATATTGAGAAAGAGAAACAGCCCAATAGAAGTATTGCAAACCTGAACACTAAGAACATAGTTTAAAAATATGGATTTAAAACCCTCTATTTCTAAGAATCAAGTGTGCTTAGGATTTATAAAAAAATACTTACTTAAGTTTCATAATCCTAACAGGAGCAGCAGAAAAATTAAAGTAAAAAGTAAAATAAATTAATTAATCTGGAATCAGAGAAGAAGACATATCAGAAATGTATGAGATCAAAAATGATAATTTGAAGGCCAGAAGCCTGGATCCAGTAAGCTGTCCGTCAGAATATCAAAACTTCTGAAAAAGAGTAAATAGAATCTGTACGCCTCAAATACTTCCCTGTCTCAAGAAATGGGAGGGTTTGAGAAGATACAGGTACCATCTGGATAATGAGAAAACATAAAAGAAATATGTCGGCAACGCATACAAAAGAGAATACATATTAATGGGAAGGTGGATGAGGCAATATTAGAAGTTCAGGACCTGGTTAAACAAACTGATGGAAAGTTATATTCTGTGTGGGATTATCAAAAGAAGGGAGCTAAAGATAGATAAGCTTTGTTAGAACAGTGGGATTTTGGTAGATGCAGAATCTACTGATTTTATATTTCTCAATTGGAATGACTCACTAAAATCAAATCTAGAGCATTATTGTTATGAAAACTATATTGGCAAAATAAAACAAAAAGTAAAGGGAAAAAGGCAACTAACTAATTTTGACAAACCCTACTGATTTAATATGTGATACAGAGTGAAGAGAACTAACCTGAGATGCAAGTTCAAATGCTAGAAATTCAACAGAACATTCCCTAGAAGAAGAGGAAACAGGCAAAGGATGCAAAACAGCAGAGGAGTATTTCAGTACTACTCCACACCCCATACCACCCAAAAATAGAGGCAACGTTACTTGAGGCTTAAGACCTGTAAAAACTCAGGAAAAACATTGTGTACAGAGCTCATGGTATTTACTTGTACTACAAGGCCACATGCTTAGAAATAACCACAGTTTCAGTTCAGGAATCTTCAGAGGCCAATTTTCCTACTGAAACAAATGTACAGAGTATAACTTTCCTGTGAGGCAGGATTTTACATACCTAGGCAACTCCATTGCAACAGAGAGTAAAAACGCTAACTAAGACCCAGTACTGAAGACACATGCTCAGTGGTCCCTTAGTGTAGAAACTGTAGTGTTAAAACAAAATACACACACAAACACATACACACGTACATACATACATACATGCATACATACAAAAGAAACCCATAAAGATCAACAAGGAAATGGAAATAAAGAGATTTTGAATATACTGAATAGAAAAAAATAGCAAAAACATTTTGAGTAAGATCTGTTGACTAGAATTGCTATTCTTGTTCTGTAACTGGTTTTTCCTTTTTTTATTTTTCTTCTTTTTCTTATGCATTTGTCTTATCCCCTCAAGACTTCATAGATATCTGGGATGAGGCTAATATATTCTAAGCATTCATATCAGTGGGCAACTCAGTACCTCCCCAAAGCAAGTATTCAACAAGAAAACACAGAATATGAGTAAGGGTAGACTAATGAACATTAGAGAAAATCTGAATTCTCATTGCTTTTCTATCAGTTAGTAAGAAAAAAAATAAAATTAACTAAACCTCAGTTTTTCTGTTAAAAGATAAGAACACTAATTCCCAACTCATAAAATTCTCTTTCATTTCATTGAGAATATTGAATAAATTATGGATGGGTAAGTATTTTTTGAAAGTCTAGATGTTATGTAATATGTATATTACAACAGAATAACAAGAAAAGTGGACAAAAGAACATATTTTCATTGGAACCTTTCATTTCTACCATCTATAAATTGCCAAAATCAGGATTTATCTCCCACGCAAGACCTTCCTCAATGCTTTCTTCACATCCTTGTTTCTAAGACTGTATATTAAAGGGTTCAGCATGGGGATCACTGTGGTGTAGAACACAGAGGACACCTTCTCCTGGTCCAGGGAATTACTTGAAGGGGGCTTGAAATACATGAAGGTGATAGACCCAAAGAAGATGCCCACAGCCATGAGATGAGAGCTGCAAGTTCCAAAAGCTTTGGACCGCCCCTCTGAGGATTGAATGTGAAGGATGCTATAGAAGATGAAGGCATAGGAGATGGCAACAGCCAAGGTAGGCACCAAAGTGTTAAAACCCGCGATGATAAAAAGTAGAAGCTCATTGAGGTGCGTGTTGGAGCAGGAGAGATGGAGGAGGGGAAGGACATCACAGAAGTAATGATTGATGATGTGGGATTTACAGAAGGACAGTTTCATCATGGCACTTGTATGAGCCAAGGCAGAGAGAAAGCCCATGATGAAGGCGGCCAGCACCAGCAGTGAGCAGACCCCAGAGGACATGACCACATTATAAAGCAGCGGGCTACAGATGGCAACATAGCGATCGTATGCCATGGCGGTCAGGAGGTAACCCTCAGCCACCACAAAGACCACAAAGAAAAAGAGCTGGGCCATGCACTCAGAATAAAGGATCGTATTCTCCTTGCCTAGGAAGTTCACTAGCATTTTTGGGGTGATGACAGAGGAATAGCAGAGATCGATGAAGGACAAACTGCTGAGGAAGTAGTACATGGGGGTGTGAAGCAGAGGGCTATCTGCAATCAGGAGAATCATGCCCAGGTTCCCCACCACGGTCACCGCATAGATTCCTAAGAACAGAAGGAAGAGGAGCAGCTGGAACTCTGGCTCCTGTGTCAAACCCACTAACACAAAGTGGGCTGCTGCAGAATGATTTCCTGTGGCCATTTCTCTTCTGAGGTCTCTGTGGAAATGGAAATTGACAATTACATTAACATAAACTTTCACTCCTTTTCTGAATAAAACCAGATCTACAGAAGGGAGGTTGACAACAGCCAAAAGACTGAGTCGCAGTTTTCATCATCTCTGTTCCTGATACCGCTGCCATGTCTCCCCAAAGCTCCCTTGGCCTCCTCCAAGTTGGTCCAGAATTTAGATCACAAAAAAAAGTGCTCCTGGGCTGACTTAGAAATAGTTACCTTCTGAATTTAGAAGCAAAACCAAATATTTGCTTTATGGGAAGAATTACTGATAGCCATTTGTTGACAGTTACACAGTAGAAAAGATTGATGGAAGATTCTAATCACTTTTTCCATTTCCCCAGTTCTCTCTGACCCTCAGGCCTGCAGGCATCCCCCACAATATGTGCAAACAAGGAGAGAACAAGGACTCTGCCTCAGAGCATTGAAAATAAGTATGTTACTTCCAATTAGAGTGATGTTGGGCATGGAATTGGATGTAAGGAATCTAATCTTTCTTCTGTGACTAGAAATGCCCCTACCAGTCCAGGGTAACTACTGCAGAGGCTAGAGTCCTCATATAACACCTCCTGGTCCTCTGCTAAGTTTGGGAAGCATGGGGGAGGCAGAAGTGTCCATATAGAAATCACTGATGAAGGACAGGCTCTTGCAACCCAGGTGCTCAGCTACAAAGTTCACAAAGAGAGTCTCCTCACACCTCAACAAAGTCAGCTGCCTGGAAACCTAGCACTGAACTATGTCCTCACTTAAGAGCCTCAGAAACCCAACAGAACAGCTCTTACTGTGGCAGGAAAGGGTACTTCTGGGTGTGTCTTGAGAATAATGTTGCTATTATTGTAAATCTTGACCTTTCTGGAGCTCGGTACCCTCAGTGGTTTGGCCTTTGGATCTGAAGAAATAAAAGAACATGCTGCATTTTTTCCCAGAAGCCGCACTGGAATCTAGTTGGTCTACCCTTTTTCAACATGAACTGGTTCCCTGGTGGAGCCATTTCAGATGATTGTCTGTGTTGTCAGGGTACTGTTAATAGTTATTCTATTCTTCTATTTAGAAAAGGTGACTAGAAATGACGATAGTGATTCCCCAACTCCACCTCCTCCTCCTTTATCATTTCCTTCTTCTTCTTCTCACCTCCTCTTTCTTCTTCAATGATCGCACATTACTTCTAAGTGCTCTACGTATGTTATTTAATTTGTCAAAAGAGTAATTATTATTTACATCTCTATCTTACTGATGAAAAAACTGAAGCACAGAGAATTTAGGAGTAGAGTCAGGGTTAGAATCTAGGAAGTATAGTGTCAGAGTCTCTTGTTTTTTCCCACTAAGCTCTTCTGTCTTTCCTTAAGTTATGAATTAATATCTATCATTAACATCTATTGCCTTCTACCTTGTTACAAAACTGAGAAAATAGAGACTACAAGGAAATTGGGACATGATGAAATGTTACAGAATGATCCAGATTTCAAAGCACTTCAAAGAAAGGACAACTACGGAAGATGTGCAACAACAGGGTGTAGGGGTCCTGTGTAGTGAGCAACCAGGGGACATGGCACACCCTGAACTGGTTCAAAATAGGAATAGCAGAGACTCAATACAAACATCTTTGTTTCTTAATTTTACCTAAGGCTGAGGGGAGCATAGAGAAAATAAAGGGAAAAAAAAAAGAGACGTTTCTGGCTTTGGAAGAGCCTGTTATCTAATAGCATATTAAATGTACAAAATTATTTAAAGAACATTTTCCCATAGCATCCTTAAAGGAACACATTGAGTCAATGTGTTCATAGTATTTCCCAGGCAACATTCAAGATGTTATGGGAAGAAAAAGAACAAAACTAAACAAATAGGTGTGATTCCATTTTAAAGTATTTCCATATACCTCTCTTAAAAGTTCATAGGGAACAATTGTGCATACAAGGCTGTAAATAGTCCAGGGAAAAGAAATCTTTTCAACTTTGTGAACTCAGCACTTCACACATCTATTTAATAAAAAAAAAAAAAATGTTGAAGGAGTTTAAGAAGGTGAACTTATAGGCTACTCATCAAACCAATGAGAAACTTTTGGTGTCAAGGTAAGCTTATTTTAAGGGCTGACTCTATTGGAGATCAGTTTGCAACATTGGGCAAGTCATTTAATATAAACCTCAGGGTTTTAATCTATGAAGTGGAAATGGTCATACCTGTTGCAAAGGATTATTATGATCAACATATTAAATGTTAAGATTCATTAAAAGCCCTAATCAAAATTTAATGTGGTACATATTTTTAAATATGATTGAATACAGAAAGTCACATCGTGTGAGGGATGGAAAATACACTATCTTCTTATGAAGAAAAGACACATATGTTTCTCTACTAGCTAGATCCTTTACCTTGGTACGAATGATGAAAATATTTTAAACATTTGGGGCTGTTTAGGCTTTTAACACTTGTTTCTCTTAGATTTGGAAATTTTGAGAAGAGTTGGAAGTGTTCAGCTTTTTTTGGAGGATTTGAGGAATTGAAGGCTCCTTATATGAAAGGGGCAAGGCTTCTGAGGCCACGAGGAAACAAAGCAGGGCTATGCTGGCAGAATGGACCCTTGATCTATCTCCTAGTGTCCTGAGAACATTCCTTCAAGATAGATGAAAAGGTAAGAATTCATGTTTCATATTCAATCTAAAAATGAATACTCTACTTGGGATTGTATCTGTCCTTGTATTTTTATCCCTTAGAAACTTATATGTGAAGGCTGGTATATAAAAAAACAAATAACAGTAACAAATACAGAAGAGAGCAGCACTCCAGGGAAGAAAACTCTGCAGTCATATGGAAACCTCAGTGAGGCTCACTATACCCAAGCTGATTGAATTTAAACTGGGAATCATTCCTGCAGATTGTGTGACCCAAGTTATAAACAAGTGACAAGGCTTAAGGTTATAAACAATAAACAATTAAGAGAAAAGGAGACAGGAGGACAGAACCAAATGGAGAGAACGGTGGGGTAAATCTTTCTGGGTAAAGCAAAATTGTTGCATGTTGTTTAGCACTGTTGCTAATCACCAACTGTCCTTCTATTGGATATGATACAATTGCCATAAGTGAAAGTGGACACTCACCTTGATCCTGTACAGAGATTGAAGTTCTTAGGAATTGCTTGCTTTGCTCATGTCACAGACCCCTGTTACAGCCAACAAAGAACAAAATCTCTCCCACTGCCTAATACACGTTTATATGTCAAGCACTGAATTATCTGGCTGGCTAAAAGTAAAACATCAAACTTCATCTGATAGTACAAACTCTCAAGACCTTGAAGCAGATCATGATGACTAGCTTTCCCAATCTTAAAAGAAAGAGGGTGGCATGATACACAGCTTTTATCTGAGGGAGCTTAGGGATCTCATTAGAAATACAAAACTCACACATGCATACTCAAGTCCCCCAAGACGTATTGAGCCTAGAGATTACTGGTGTGCTAAGAATTTAATAACCCTCTGCAAAAACATAATATCATGCTCTGGGCTCCCTATTGCTATCTATCTTAAGAGTCATGAAGATCCCAAATGAAGTTTCTTATTTTTTTTTTTTATGCTACCAACAAGGATTCTGTAACTCAGAGAATGTAGATCAATGATTCTCAAGATTGATTTTGTCTGAAATTAGTTGCTAGTTCTGGACTAAGATTTCATCAGTTTGGGTTTTTTTTTTAAGGTGGGGGAAATAGAAGAATTTAAATTTTTTCCTAAAACTAAATGTAAAGACTGTTCTTTTATGAGGTTATCATTTATACTTTTTAAAATTTGAGAAATTCAAAATATTCTTTCATTTTATGATATAGTCCTGACACTAAATAATAGTTATGTTTTTCAGTTGTTTGCTTATTTATTTGTGAATTGTGTTTGAATGTCTTTACTTGGAAAACAAATTTCTGGCAACTGTGTGGTGGTCCCTCAGTGAAATTTTATTGTCCTAAGAAATCCAAATTCTAAGACATGTAAAGTTGGCTAACATAGATAGAATGCCCTATTTTCCTTTCTATGAAGGAGCTCAAGCTGGGCATCTTCTAGGACCCTGAGAAAAAATTTCCATGAATTCTTGCCAACTGAACCAATCTTTACGTACCAGAATTAAAGTACTTATTCTGCCTCTTCTGCTATATTATTTCCCATACCTGCAGTTTATGTTATTCAATGGCTTAAGCAGCTTTAGTTTATTTTTCACAATCACATCTGTTAAAGGTACTTCCCATTCCAGATCAATTGAGGAAGATGTTCTCCTGACACAGAGACACTGTCAAAGGAGATGTAATACTTAAGGGCAACGTCAGCTTCTTTGTGCAAGGCCTGCTAGAAATACCAATGTTTCCCCATGAACTCCCTTTAGCGAAGTTAATTATAAAGCATCCAAAGATATCTAGTGATGTTTATATATAAATAATATGTTAACACAGTTGATTCAGAACTGGATTTACTCAATAGCATGTTTTAGTTCCAAATTATTTCCATATAATAATAATAGCATTAACTATAGAAAAAGTGCCAGAACCTACCATAGATTTGATGGAAAGAAGTTGCAGATCAGAAGAAGAAGGAGCAGGATTTCAGCACAGATCAACTTCCAAGAAACTTGAAATTCCATGGAAATGGATGTGGCTGATTCCTAATTGAAACGACCACCTTCTGTCTCAGAGATTAAGCCAGGCATCTTAAAATGATTCACACTGTTAAGAAGACCAAAGGGCTGGGAAAATAGAAAGGATTTCAAAGACTTTTACCTTCCCTTGTCGACAAGAGACAGGTAATCTTCCCAAGCTATACTACACCACCGCTACAGCCTACAAATAACTAGTAATTGAGAAAACGACCATGCTACAGAATATCTATGACCAAGGTATCCATCCAGAACCTATACCTCCATCAAAGTACCCACAAGTGAAGGCAAAGTTCTTAGCCAACATATGCTGCAGACACACTGTTAACAGTGAGGGGGAAAGAGGGGGAAAACCCATCTAAAAAAAAATCAAAAAACCAGAAGCATCAGCTGCTCTAGATGGGAAGGAATCAGCACAAGAACTCCAGAAATATGACAAATAAGAGGGAAAGGACATTGCCAAAGTGGTACACCAGCTCTCTAGCAATAGATCTCAACCAAAATAAAAATACTTTCAGTATGGCAAAAATGCCAAATAAAGAATTCCAAAATTAGGATTGTAAAAACACTCAATGAAATCCAGGAGTACATGGAAAACCAACTCAAAGAAAACAGAAAAACAGTTCAGGAAATAAATGAAAGATGTACTAAAGACATAGATATATTTTATAAAAACCAAATACAACTTCTAGAAATGAAAAACTTACGTAATAACTATAAAACCCAGTGGAAAGTATTTATTATTTTTATTTATTTATTTATTTATTTATTTATTTATTTTTTGAGAGTCTCACTCTGTTGGCCAGGCTAGAGTGCTGTGGCATCAGCCTAGCTTACAGCAACCTCAAACTCCTGGGCTCAAGCAACCCTACTGCCTCAGTCTCCCAAGTAGCTGGGACTACAGGCATGTGCCGACATGCCCAGACAATTTTTCTATATATTTTTATATAGAAAAATTTATAATTTTTTTTATTTTTGGTAGAGTCAGGGTCTTGCTCTTGCTCAGGCTGGTCTCAAACTCCTGAGCTCAAGTGATCCACCTGCATTGGCCTCCCAGGTTGCTAGGATTACAGGTGTGAGCCACCGCACCCAGCCAAAACCCAGTGAAAATTTTTAAGAATTGAATAGACCAAGCAGGAGAAAGAACTTCAGACTTTGAAGACAACTCTTTTGAATTAACCCAGTCAAAAATAAAGAACAAAGAATTAAGAGGAATGAACAAAGTCTATGATAAATATGGGATTACATAAAACAGTCAGATAT